TCCCTGAGGTCAAAGGGTGAGTTTATACGCGTGATAAATATTACAGACAGCTGAAATGTTGAAGAATACTAAGTTTATCAGCTCGCCTGTTTGTTATTATAAAGCCTCTTTGATAGGAAGTGTGGTGAATGTCTGTACTGAATTACTGCAAATGAATAGGTAACCACATTATAATGAACTAATTTAACAGCAAAAAATCATGTGATTTCAAAACTGAAACAATCTCCTACTGAAATTACTACTGAAATCAGGAAAAAGATATTGGTATCAGTAGTAAAAGCTGTTTATCGATGGCCGACTATTTGGAATCCAGACATTAGACTGAAGTTATCAGGCTGAGGAAAGGTATTCCTTCAATCTTGATATGTTTCGACGACTTCAATAGTGTTCTGTGAGAATTAAATGTGTTAGTTGAAGTTATGGTAAGTGCATTTGGATGAGAAAATCTAATGATGTGCATTTGACAATATGAACTAACTGTTAAACACTACAGAAAGTCGACTTTCAGCAGAAGCGAAACGAAAGACCAGCTGTTCGGTGATGATGAGTTATTTAGTTGCCAGAGATGTTGACAATATTTAGCAATGATCACCGACAGCTGGGATGGCCGAGTGGTTAAGGCGGTGGACTTAAGATCCCCTGGAGTGTATCTCCGCGTGGGTTCGAACCCCACTCCCAGCATTGTCTTTGCTTTAGAACACCTTATAGGGAAACAGCAACTAGAAGTGACAATAGCTTGTATTCTTACAGTCCATCATGGTATGCATCACACGAATGTACAGAGAAGGCTAAGTGGCTATTTTATTTGATGTTTAGTAGGGATTCGTACTTTTATAGACAGTTTTAACGAATGGTTTGACGAAGTGTGAAGACTGTACAAATGATTCAGGTCGTCGAATTAAGATTGTGTTTTTGAAGGGTGTTTTTGAGGAAATAGAGGCAAAATGAAATAATAGACACCCAACAGGCAGGAACTCACCAATGACCTTGGGACGTTCACTCAGAACAGGGCAGTGATATCAATTAAATAACATTACTTTGATAAAGCTATTAGAATTAAATAGAGAAACGTCAGTAAAAACAATATCGTTTTGTTTTTCATTCATTGGGAAATACAAAAACCTTTATTATAATAAATATTTAAGATGATATCTGGTTAGTTCAGTGTTAGCGTTGACTTAAGAAAACAAAAACTATTTTTCAGAATATTTTTGTAGCTCCTCAGACTAATATAGTGATGGGCATTACTGTGAGTGCGTATCATTTAATCATATTTGTGCTTTTGTTTGATGCATACCATGATGGACTGTAAGAATACAAGCTATTGTCACTTCTAGTTGCTGTTTCCCTATAAGGTGTTCTAAAGCAAAGACAATGCTGGGAGTGGGGTTCGAACCCACGCGGAGATACACTCCAGGGGATCTTAAGTCCACCGCCTTAACCACTCGGCCATCCCAGCTGTCGGTGGTCATTGCTAAATATTGTCAAAATCTCTGGCAACTAAATAACTCATCATCACCGAACAGCTGGTCTTTCGTTTCGCTTCTGCTGAAAGTCGACTTTCTGTAGTGTTTAACAGTTAGTTCATATTGTCAAATGCACATCATTAGATTTTCTCATCCAAATGCACTTACCATAACTTCAACTAACACATTTAATTCTCACAGAACACTATTGAAGTCGTCGAAACATATCAAGATTGAAGGAATACCTTTCCTCAGCCTGATAACTTCAGTCTAATGTCTGGATTCCAAATAGTCGGCCATCGATAAACAGCTTTTACTACTGATACCAATATCTTTTTCCTGATTTCAGTAGTAATTTCAGTAGGAGATTGTTTCAGTTTTGAAATCACATGATTTTTTGCTGTTAAATTAGTTCATTATAATGTGGTTACCTATTCATTTGCAGTAACCCAATATGGAATATCTCAGATCTTCCTCTTAATTCATCATGTCTCACTTAAGAAAGGGAATATGAACAGTTTTCAACAATTCACTCTACATTTATTTGACTTGCCTTTCATTTCGTGGAGAAATCGTGTGGATCCGACCTACATATGTATTTTGAAGTCTTTGTTTTAGGTTTCTTTGTATCTGATTGTGAATAGGGTCTTGTCACTAGGAGAAGTTGAATCAAACTAATGAGCATATCTGTGACATTCTGTGTACGATTTATTTGCTATGAGTAATAGTACCACGTTGGTTTTTAAGCGTGATATGTAGGAAATGATAGCTGTATTACTACGACATTCATCTCCATATTTTGATGAAATTATGACTTTTTTTAGCTTTAACCACTACATTTTTCAGTGCGTTCTATCTCTCGTGTGAAATGGTATAATAGGGTGAGCATTACTGAGATTAGGCGTCGAGTGTTAGGTAAGGATGGAAAATCAATCGACAAGCTTGATAGGTTACATCGACTGAGATGGTTACGTATGTCTAGCCATCGGCTTCCTCGACTGGCAATGTTAGCTGACATAGGGTCAGGCTGGAAAAGACCCAGTGGTGGTCAAACCAAAACATGGCTTCATCAGTCAGTGAAATCCATAGCAGTTAGTTTAAGCCAGCCACGTAGGAAGATGCAGACTTCCTTGTTGGGGTCCTTGGGACGGTAAACACCAATGGCTGGAAAAAGTTCTCAATGGCGCAAATGCATCCACTCCTTGGACTTATAATACCCAATAAAACTATATTATTCTTCGATATTACTGTTCTTTTTATCTCATATCTCTCTTTACTGTCTCTATTTTGCGTTTCTTTTTACTTTCGTCTTCTTCTCTGGCTTTGTGTGCTGAGTGAAGTGTGGCGACTCGAACTGCTGCACATCAGTGCAAAGTTCAATGTTGAAACCAGTCAGTCGGTCAGCGTTAATTATGCCACGTACAGGTATATAAAATTTGTTTCCGAAAGTTTCACGAGGACTTTTTTATTGTGTTCTTGAAATTGTACGAATCACACGAATATCCACTTTTATTTTATAACTAAAATTATTGCTATGTTCAGTTAAAGTTAATTTGACAACCCGATGTAATGCACTGAGGTGATGAATGAAGATGAGATGAAAATCTAAATAACTGCGACAGTTTTCTCATCGGAGCCCTCTGAATTATCAGCTCTTTCAGATTTTAGTCTCGTTTTGCATTTAGCTGAGTTATAAGCTACGGAATAGTAGTCAGTGATTTACAGTAATACCTTTCCGTTGGTATCTCTACGTTCCGCATACGACTGTGGTTTTATTCAAGCTTAAACTTGTTTGTTTGTGTTGATCCCATCGTTACATCGCTTCATGCCTTGTACCCTTAGTTTCTATGTAGTTATACTGATGAAATTAGACAAAAAATTAGTAGTCCTTAACTACAAGTGCGTTTAATTTGTTAGCTGTCTTAGGTTGAACAACATACTAAGTAATAAGAAGTTTAGGCGAAGAGCGTCAGTCATGTAATAAAAATATTTCATCTTTGGAAGATTGTGGAAGCTCACTTTACATATTGAGTGTGTATCTAGGAGAATACTTAAAGCTGTGCAGTTAATTCATTCAACTCAGAGAACACGATGATACTATGTACATCCTCCAGAGCTAATAAGCAACCCTAGAATTTCGTAGGTGTCACGTATTGGAATTGGTTGAGACATATGTTATACGTGTCCAGCCACCGCCTTCTCAGACGGAAAACCTTAGCTGAAGCAGAATGGTGTTGGAAAAGAATTAGAGGTGGTCAAAATAAAAAGTAACACCAATCCGCGGAGTCTTTGACTTCTGGTCTGAGCCAGGTAGAAAAGTGTAGACCACTTGGCTGGGTTTCACAGGATGCTTAGAATCAATGGTTGGAGACTGTTGGTGGCATAGCTGAAAACCACTCACTTGATTCCTACTGGATAATTCATGTTAAACGAACATTCCAACTACTATTTTATTCACTCATTTCACTTATTGAAGAGATCCCCACGTGGAAATTTAGAAGATAAGATGATTAAGCGAAGAAATATGTATATATAACATTAATACAATATGACAATTTTTATCAATCTAGTAGCGATAAGTTTGTTAACAATAATTAGTCAATATCAAAATGTCAGGGGGAAATGATAATCAACCGAGAAAATTATTACAAATAATTAAAGGGCAGAAATCATTGCAACAAGTGGATTGCATAATGCATAATTTTGCAAAAATAAAGATTGTGTATGAGAGAAATGTTAGTGTCACTTAGAATTCAAACATTTAGTCTGGCAAGAAATACATTTAACAGAACATCGCTTCATAGTCTATCTGATAACCTCACAGTTCATAAAAATGTCTTGAACTTAGTTTTTGCGCATGGTGATACTCTTATACTTCTCTACAGAAGTGAGAGAAATTTGAAACAGCCTGTTGTTTTCCTTCATTCATCTAGCAGCTAAAATATTCCATTGTTCAACCAATGCAATCAAGACATTCGTTTTAACAAATAAATTTTTCTGAAAAAATACAAAATCTCACCCTGGATATATGGGCTATTCTGGTACCTGCGGTACTGGTGGGAAATTCAGTTCCCTATGAAAGAACGATTGTACAGCTTATTAGTTTATTGTGTCCCACTGTACGACTGTGTGATGGGACCACTAGTGGTCATAGGTTTATAGCCATATTTGTATTCATACAGTCTCTCGACACTGGTGAAACCATTTATTAAGTAATATTTAGATAATGCTTCCAGATCATTGTAATAAAACTGAATCAGTTAGTGAGAGATAATAAATCTTCATCGAATGAGTTGGCTTTGTTATGCAGTATTAGCCACCACACCATTTTCGCTCATCTCCTTTTTGTATTCTATTCTAAAATGTAGTGCTTTGAGCCTTATACACTTCTGTTCCAGATTCATGTGTTTGTCTCTTTGTGTACTGGTCTATCTACGAATGTTTATTCACCTACTTAACAAGCTATTAATTCGCCAACTTAATACTCTTGACTCGATATTCTTGTTATCGCATTGCTTCTATGTTTATTTATAGGCACAGATGAGGCTACAATTATTAACATACTGGCTCGTAGAACGAATTATGAACGTCAAGAAATTTGCCAGTCATACATGAGTATGTATAAAAAGGTATGTTTGTATTACGAATAGAGTAAAACTTGGTCATAACCCGTGTTTAATACTCAAAGACAAATTGACTCGTTTATTAACGTGATTGATATGTGATTATTGTTTACGAAAATCCGAATTATCATCTGTTTGCCTAACTTATACTAGGTGGGATGTTCAGTGGCATTCGTCATTTGATCGATGATTTGCTTATATACACTATCAGCTTATGTTAACTTCTACGATTTGAGTGAGTGCATAAGTTATCGCAAAAACAAATTTACCTCCCTTCTGTTTCTACCGAATTGAGTGGGTAGAGCAGTGACTATCATTTACGAATTGAATTTCTTCAGATTGTTGGTATTCTATGATATTGTTTTACATGCTCCGAGGAATGCTGTAATCATATCAGATGTTACGTTTGGTTGTTTTCAAGGTATTTTATCATTTTTTTACACAATCGAAGTATCCGTTGTGGGTTTGATATGCTCGAATACCCCTTGAGATTACTTCTATCCTCACCCTACGATTTTATCGTATTCACCTACTTTTGTAGCCAGTTTTATCGAATCCACTAAGAAATATTATCCCTTGTAATATGTATTTTTATCTAATTTTACCTACACATATATACACACAACCATTTAAACACAAAACCCCACCTATTTGGGCTTTTATTTGTACATATAAGGTTCAAATTTTGACTGAATCACAATCTGTTGTTCATACTGACCCCAATATCCCTTCGAATTCAAAACTCTGGCATGTTTCATTTTACAGTATAATTTCATACTAACAATGATGTCACAAAAACACTTACTTTGAAATGAATTCGAAGACCATTTGTATTTCAACATGATTAATCCTAAAATAATTTATTATTATCATGACTGTTATTAGAGCTCATAAACCATTCCTATAAAAATACTTTTGTGTAACTGATAAATTGAAAAGGAGGTTGTCGAAAAAAATACCTTTATTCAGCATTCTCTGTGTGTGTTTCACCTGTCACGTGTATCGTCAGACATATTTTCCATCCCTCGGTAAAAGTTAACCTCTGATTGTCTATCTAGATGAGATTTTTCTACACACGTATTTATCCACTTTCCTAGAATTAAGGTCAGATCACAGACTGACATCAGTTACAGAGCAGCTGGAAACCAGGTATTACTGGACAGCTGCTTCATTCTAATTCGAGACCCTTCAGAAGTACACACTCATAATCCTCCTGAGGATTTTTTTACAAGTCCTTACATATGACGGATGTGTTATTGACAATCAGTATTTACTAGTTAGATAAAATCTACTAGGATTCATTTTTCTTTAAAGCCACAGCTGATGAGTAGCACAAAGACAGTTTAAATCATATAGAGATTAAGAGTATTATAAGAGTTATAAATAAGTGTTGCAACTGATACAGACAGTCACGAAAAGACTTGAAGTGTAGAAGAAATGAAATCTTCCCTCAACTAGTACAAAGTACGCGAAGGTAGATGAGCTTCTTTGAATGCAGAGACATTGTGGAATTGTACTATAATTCTACAAACCCTTAATATCAATGATAGTTGACCTAGTAGTTGAAGATACCAAAAATCTGACAGGTAAACGTCCCTTACACGGTAGCTTACCACATGGCATGATAAGGCAAATATGCATAAATTCGTAAGAATTGATTTCTTCAAAAAAAGTGTGGATAAACGTGCCAGTTAGCATTCCTGGCAAAATATACTGAAGAAATGTCTGAGATACAGACTTGTGTCCATAAATAGCCTCAAACTAGCTATCTGTAACTTAATAAATTGTTGGGAAACACTTTGTTTCTTTGAAATAAGAGCGAGTGTTTGTAGCAAAATCTGAGGATAGAAACTGCTTAGTATTTTCTAGATCTCGGTAACTGAATGTAACTGCCCATACGTATTGAGAAAAAAAAGAAGTGTTTTGTCTTATTTCCTGCTGACATTCGGCCAACACAACAAACTGTTTAGCCAACGTAGTATTCTGCAGGGGTAATCCTTTTAGTTGATTTTGTAAATTACATCTGATTTATCCTTCTTTGGTAATGGATCTTTCAGGTTGCACCCTAGTGATTTCATTGGTTCGCATGTCACTCTAATGGTGAAAAGTTGAAGTATTCAGTGGGTGATCTTTGAGATTCCTTTGATATAGATTCTGGTAATCTATATTTTGAGCTAAGGCAACTGTGTTGTCATTCCCTTGGTCAACAACATTTTCTGATAAAGTTTTGAGGAAATATTAAATATGTCCTTTTCCCTACAACTTAGTCTCTTTATGCCATCATGGATTTTGGCTCCTTAAAGTAACGTCAACACACAAGACTTCACGTGTAGGCTGTTGGATAGCTGCTATTGCTTAAAACTCGATCGATGAGGCGAATTTTCCAGTAAGCTTTTGTTTGCTAGATCTCACTCATCCTTAATTCTGCCTACAAAGACATTTAGGAGGAAAATCCCAATCTCTTCTTCATTTCTTAATTGAATTACACCTAATATGCGATCAATGAGATTGAAGCAATCAGAACTCCTGCTGCTTTCAAAGTTTTCCAACCCTCATTCTTGGCGGTGATAAGTAACTGAATAAGCGAACCCGACCCAGCTGATTCAACCAATCACAGTTTCGTAATGGTACTTTTGAGAAGTTTTCTGGAAATTTAAATCAATGTGTTAATTATTAAAATTATTACTCCATTCTTTTTTGGAAGGATCTTAAAGATGAATTAAAATCAGAGACAAGTGGTGATTTTCGCAAGGTACTGTGCCAACTGGTTGTGGATACACCGTATATGTTAGCCAAATCATTATATTATGCTATGAAAGGTCTGGGTACAAATGATCGCGTTCTAATCGAAATATTAACTACCCTGTGGAATGATGAAATAAGAGCTGTTGCTGAAGCTTATAAAAAAGGTGAGTTTATTCATGGTTACCGGTGACTTCTTTAATATCTCAAATCTAAGGTTAGCTTTATTCAATTGATCAAGGTTGGAATGAGTTTGCGGTGATAGATACATAATGGGGCTCTATCAAGAAAAGATCCTAACCTTGATATGTGTTTATAGACAGATGAAGGTCATCAGGATCCCAAAAATAACTGGAGCTTAGCTGTACATAAACAAAATATATCATTTATACATCTTCCCAAGACTAACGAGATAGCTACTTTAGTGTACAAAAACTTTTTTGTTATTTCCAATGTTTTCTAAGTTTACAGTCAGATGGTGCTTAGTTACTCTCAATAACCCATACAAATTAGTCTATTGTATTGGGTGATCTGCGGCGCATGCAACATAAAAGTGATGATATCTGTGTTAATTGCATCAGAATTTTACACTTAACTTTCTGATAAATGCCAAAAGGAATAAAAATTAGAATATACGTTCCCTGATTGTAGTTTCCAGTCGCCCATCAATAAATGTAGGACGAAGTGAAGTGAAATAACGTCTTAGTATCCACACCGCCAAAGTGAATAATAGGAATTGACAGGTAACTCAAACCAAATAACACACTGTCCTTTACAATGAACAATAAAATTATCAATGTCAGGATACTGTCTCTGTTAAATGCATTTGTGCTTCATCTTGTTTTATACTTACGTTTTTAGGTTATTGGTTGTATGCTACTTACTATCGTTAAGTAATATATGTCAAATTCCATTAAATTACCATTTTTGTGAAGTGTCCATTTTTGTTTCAGTTACACATTCGTTTAACAGGTTAGATTGTCTCCTTTAATTACTTTCTTACCAAATTGTGACATTTTCTGTTTGCTTAACGCACCATTAACTGAAACCTTGTTTGAAACTGATTGTATCCTAATTCTTTCATTCCTGGGCTTTTTATCTTGTCCTTAAATATATTTCTTCAACCATTCTCATGATAATGTAACAAACATTCAAATATCTCAGCATCTTCATTAATTTTAAATGGCACTTACTATTGAAATACCATGCTCCTGAGAGACTTCACTCTTTGGGCTCCGGAATTTTTTACGTGCTATCTTAAACATTCGGTTTAGATTTACATAGACCGTATTTAAATTTATTTAAAATTCCCCGAAATAAAACTGTAATCTCATTGATGTTCTATTTTTTATACCATTTTAATGAATAATGAGGTGCAATCAGGAAGTTTCCTGAAATAACGAGCGATTTTACAGCAGTTGTTCAGATACACTACTAAACTTAAGGGATTGAATTAGTCAGATATCACTGACAGATTGTTGACTTAACCTGATAACTGAATCCGAATTTTGTTTTGAATATCGACACTATTTAACCGGGCATATTTCGTTAAACTTAGAACTTCTCTGTTGACTTCGCTTCATCCTTTAGGATGCTATTATTACAGCTGAATCTAAGCTACAGTACTTATTTTTTGGAATGAGGGGCTATCATTTATTGTTAGATTTTTCACATACTTGATTTACAGCACTGTTGCTAATGTATTTCAAAGTGGACGAAACTTACACCATGAAGTTTATTACTAATTATATATATATATACATATATAACTCTTTTTCTACACACGGACTAATAATCAGTGTAATTTCTACATTTTGATTTTAGTTCTTAAAGATAAAGGGAGTGAAGGTGAGTTCTGTTTATTTCTATTGCTTATCTTGCTCTTAGTGAGTGGCTTCGAGTCACTTTTAGTTTAAAACGTATCTAATTTTCATTACTATGGACTTTGGAAGACTTTCAGATTTACTTTGTTAAACTAATTAACAAATAAGAAAGTATATGGTCAGCATATCAGACAATGACTTTATTTGAAGGCAGTATCTGATTCTGGAGGTGTAGGGATATTATAGCAGTGCTTTCTACTGAAAATTCTTCACTGTATTACTCTTGATTACATTGAATACTAATACAAACTACTCTGTGATAGGTTTATTCGCTTGATCTCAAATTAACTGATTCATTGACAGACTATGAAGTTCTCTTTCTGTCGTATAAACCGTCTAGGATTGATCTCATCTCGTCAAACTAAATTAGGGCATATAGATAATACAGTCTTTCTACGTGATCATATGGAGTTCTATATTACTTTATTAACTTGTTATAGTATATTAGCCATATAGAATCCATATTTATCGTACAATGAGTGACCGTTTGAGAATGTTTTACATTTTCCTAACCTTTTCCAAGTGTATTCTATTATCTGTTGTTAACAGCACTGACCACTGTCCATACATGGGAAGTAGTATCAACAGTGAATGGTTGGTGAGGGATGTACAAAGAAACACTTAATTTTCTTCAAACTGTTCAAGTGGGAGATCCTTTTATCCAATAAGGGTTAAACGCAACAGTTGTCTCTGTCTTATTTTAAGGATATTAAACAGCTTCATTGTCAGTAGATTCTAGAAAAGTGGAATTAGTTGACCTTTGATGTCTACCATATGGAGTAGAACCATATTGTGAATATGTTAGGGATTACGTGTGAAACAGAGGAATTAGATAGTGAGTTGGTAAACTTCTACAGTCTGTAATAACTGGTACCAGTTTTATACATTCCTAGCTACAACTCATCACACCCTAAAATAGATCCTGGAGTCTAATTAAAGTGAAATAAAACAAAGACATAGTTAGACCAAGATCTAGCATCATTTCATGAAGTCATTGTTTGTTGACATGTGATATGCAAGGAGGTGGATTAGTGCTTTAGTTGTCTTTACTTGTTTGTCCACCTTGCAGTCATGTTCAACTCATTTAAAAAAATAAATACACTACTGACTGTATCTTTTGGGCTGTTTTAAAAGTTAAACATCTGTCTGGTTCTATTAATCATTTGAAATCTTTAGATGAAAGCGTAAACTAGTTCCCTTATGTTTCTGTTAGCAGAATATTGCTTATTTCATCAAAAAGACGAATTAGATGGTTGGAGGCAATCTGCAGGAAGCCTTGGATCTAGATGAATTCATAATTAATAGACGTTAAACTGAGGCTCATAGAGTAAGACAGCTGATAGGTTATACATTCGAACACCTCCTCTACTTACCAGGATCTTGGAAGCCAGATAGCATGAATACCCGAATCCCTCAAGAACAGCAGAATGCATAGCCTTAAATAAGGTCACTTAGCTATATTTGTAAGTCCCATTTCATGCTACACTTATTAGTCCATTGAACACTGTTTTCTTTTACTTATTTAAATAAAGCCACTGACCGTTCATTAGTCACTGATATGAAGAAAGAAACCTGTGGAGACTATGAGTATGCTCTACTTAGTTTAGTTCAAGCTGAACGGGATGATGTACAAGTGCTTCAATTGAAAAGTATACCTGAGAAAGGTGTTCAGTCTATTACTAATCGAGATTTGGCTGAAGCTGATGCCAAAGAGCTGTATGCATGTGGAGCTGGGTAAGCTTTCTTGGTTTAGAAGACATTTATATTCTGTAGAAGATAAATATTTCTTTATCATATTCAATTTATGAATGGAAGATAAGTGATTCTCTGAAATCTGCACAATTCAAATTTGACTGGTCAATCAATATTGCCTCTTTATGATTGGCTAGTTTTTGTTTGTTTTTCTTTGAGCCGGAGGTTTTAAGTAATAGTATTTACCTTTAGGCGACTAGAAATTTATAAAGTTACATTTATGACAGATGCTTACCAAATGGTGATCAACGTAGGTGGTCTAGTCTTTATTGTGTCGGTTGAAATCTACTCACTAAGTATGTATATGGTCACTAAGCTGTTTAGCACTATGCTGTAGAGTACTGCAAATTTCACCCATATATAAGAAGAAGTTAGCAAACTGTAAGCCCTGAACCTAGATTTCGTTTATTTTTCTTTTCATTTCTTGTGTTTTGAGTGGAAAACAGGGCTTCGAGCTCTTAAGTCACAGTGGACGTGTTGTTATTCTTTTTACGGGACGAGGTTGATGGCCTCATAACCAACCTTTTCTCTTCTCTGGGCTTACTACCGGCCAGTAAAGTAGGCGAGATCTAGAAAAATCAGGTCCAGGGATCGAACTGGGACCTTCATCGTGGTTAGCGACCATTCTACCTGCGAACCGCCCACACAAAGGTAGACTTTGTGCTTGTTATCAGTCATTGACTAAATGTGGTGTCACAAAGTTTATTCCCCATATCGCATTCGTCGTCGATGGGCTTTAGTTAACAGTTTCAGGATTACGCAGATAAGTTGGTTTTCATGTGACAATCATTTAGGATGCACGATTCAATCTTGGCAGTCAGTACAGTTTATAACGACAAAGAGGATGTGGATTTCTTGAAAAATACATACAACTCGCTGCTGATAGGTAAAATGCATTAGACCTATATCGATGTTAATCTGGTTATTTGATACTCCTCATATCTAAAGTTACATCCATACGTCTCAAATTTAACCACTTCTTTTATCCACTGACGTCGCACAGATTCAGCTAAGAAACTCTGGGTGTGACAAAGCCTATGTCATGTGTTTTAATGCAGTCAAAAGTGTGAATCTGGAGGCTAATGCGTTTCAAACCCTGCCAGTTTGTAATATCATGCAAAATTGTTTCAGGATTGACTGTTCTTAATTTGAATAATGAATTGGACTATGCACAGAGATCAGTGAACACTTCCAAACAAGGAATATCGAACTGTCGGTAGTTTTTTATGGTTGTTTTAAAATGGTTCTCTGGCTAATGTTGTTAAGCGACGAAATCTGTTTTGGCGTTATTCACATTTCCATAAAGTTGTTAATTTCATGAGAAATATTTTTAATTTAGTATTTTTTTATTCTTTTCTCTAGTAGAATGGGTACTAATGAAAGACGTATTACACGAATCATATGCAACAGAACGCCGTATCAGTTATATTTAACTTCAGAAGTCTATTTAAGTGTAAGTTGTGTTTCTGCTACAATTAATATGAACGATCAATATATATATATATATATATATATATATACATTCGAGATATCATGGGCTGGAAAATGTTGACTGGGTCGTTTATATTTGTGTTACACTGAATACCGAAATTCATAAGTCTTAAAGAATGAAAAAAGACTGAAATGTACGTAGGAATAATACGAGAAGGAGAAAAGATGAATATATATATATATGAACACATGAATTTGAATTTTTGAAGAATCCTCAATACTATCGTAGTTGTGGATGGCAGCAGTCAATAAAATTAGGTATCATGTAAGGAATTTTAACCTTAACCACCTAAAGTTAATTAAAAGCACATTATCACTTAAATTACTCACTGCAAACTCGGTCAGTCGAGTTCGATTAGCACTTAGGACTCAACAATGAAAAATTGGCTAATTTTCTTATGATGAATCAATTTATGAGTTGATCTGCTCCGCGAAATAAACCAAACGGATAAATGACACTGTGTTGCAAGTGAGTTGTAAGTGTCCAAGAGAGGTGGGAGTAAACCAAGAAATATTAAGTAGCCCAGTTTTCCAACACGGCTTATCCACGACGCATGCAGTTTGAAAAAAGAACAGTTAGATTATGAAGTGGTTGAAATGCGATGGTCATTAATTTTTCTAACTTCTGTGAATGAACAATTTCTTCCACACGCTAATGAAAAGTTGTAATCAGTCAAGTGTACCGATCTGGGTGTAAGAACACCTACTGACAACATTGGATGGGTGAGGCTATAAAAAGTGCGCAAATGCTTTCTGATCCAGTAGCTGAGTGGCGACCAGTTAGCCTTTTAATTTCATAGTCAAGGTCTCAGTCTCGCGACATTATGATTGGGCACTGCATTATCGCTTTTTAGCATCCTTTATTTTCAGTGTTTCTCTAAAGTCGATTTATAAAGAAATCTATGGTGAAATCAGTTGACTTCGGAAGCTCCAGTAAATATCCTCCAACATTATTTTTCAGCGAAGTAATCTAGGAAAACATTTTTGGATATATAACAAGATGTTATCCTGAAAGTACTATAAGTTGTCGGTATACGATCAAGAATCTCGAGAAATGTGAGCATTACACATTATGTGAAACCAGAAGTTTGATTTAGTTCTTTGAGTCATACAGTAGTTAACTAAATATACTATAACCATTAAGAGATATAATCAGAATATGACCTAATAAGACCCAATCTTCACCAGTTGATGAGTAGCCCTCAACCGGGAAAAATAACCTGATTTAAACGGTTCAGATTCATACAAGATGCTTCATAGATTGGTGCGATATCTTGGTCTGATCACCCTTAGTTTTCTTCTTGCACTTCGTCTTATTCAAGATGAGAAAAGTTAACAACAAATTTAGTGACAAACTTTCCCCGCTGTCATTGTAAATATCTCAACAATCAAAACCAAAAGTTATAAATATGCTTTTTGAAACCGGGATAGTCAACTCTATGGTGACGAAACGATTGCTATAGCACCCTAATTTTGAAATTTATTCCACTCATCTTCTAGATGTACGGTAAAACGCTTCTGGAACATATTGAAGCAGAAACATCTGGAGATTATCGTAAACTATTAACATCTATTTGTAAGTAATAAAAGTAATTTTAACATTATTGCAATTATCTAATATACTTCATTTATATTAGAAACTACGGAGAAACAAGGTATTTTTGAATCAGCCCGCTACGCTGAAGGTAAAATTATAGACTTTTTGGAAAAGTAACAGAATTTCCTATAGGAAATTAGAGTTCAAATGTTTACAGATCACATAATCTGATGTGAACTTTAAGTCTAGTTTATTTAGAGAACCGAAAATCCTCATATTACTGTATATGATATTTTTGCTCTGGCTTAAAGTTTCCATAGCGATTGGGTCGATTTTCCAACACAGAGTCGCTAACCCAACGTCCGACCCTCCCTCTTTCTCTGAGCTTAGGACCTTTGCTTAATACTGAAGGTCGGATTTTCAGAAAGGACTACCAGTATGGAACTCTGGGAACGAACCAACCAAGAACCCATTGCCCAACAAGCATTCCGAAGTAAATGGAGATGGATGGGACACACTCTGAGGAGACCCCTGAATGACATCGAGCGTTAGCTCATAGCTCCGGTGGGACACGCATGAGAAACGGAGAGTTGGGCGTTACTCCAAGGGTGGCACGGAGGAGATCATGTGAGGACATGAGAGCTTATAAGCAATCGTGTAGCCAGTTGAAGAGGACAGGACAAAATGAAAATGTGCAGCTGAAGCATTGTGCCACTCGGAACCCAAGGGAATAATAGTGATACAATATATGATCCCCTTGAAATCATATATAGCATCACACAATAAACTTTGCTTTCTAGAATGATTAGTGAGTGCTATTTAAGCTCTCTTCTTGTTCTTTTATTAGTGAGATATGCAACCGATCGACCTGCTTTGATTGCTGAATGGCTTTATGATGCAATGGCTGGTTTAGGAACAAAGGATTATGCATTAATGAGGTTGTTAATTACACGCTCAGAGGTAAGTTGACAGCGAATAACGCTGGTTTTTCATTATTTTTATTACTGCCAGACATCCATATACACATACTGTAGATCACTCTTATGGTGACCAAAACTCTGAATTCATCACCGACTGCAAGGTTGTCAACATATCTTGTTGATAAACCAGGTTAAATCTCCCAAGCTAATGTTTTAGGCAATTCGATATGGTCCTGTAGTATTTTTGAGTTTGTGAAGAATGGACTCATTTCCTTACAAACTGTTGTCAACATGGGGATATCTGGCGATTGCAAACCAGTAACTTTATAACGTCGTAGTCTGAAAGTTCTTATCACTACGTATCAACGACTCCATAATAGAGAGAGTTCAGAGCAGTCATGCTTCCGGAAATCAGTCAACACACGAGTTTTTATCATGGGGTGGTTATAATAAGAGAACTAATGAAATAATGGGTACTTGACCCTGTTCGACTTGTAACTCTCGACCTTCAGGATTAGTTTTCATATAAGATATTGGAGGTCTATTTTCCGCCACTTTTAGTCAGTACCAATACTCAATTGGAGAGTTCTCAACGTGGAGAAATACAACGGTCTATGGTTTTCATCGATCATTCTTTCCGACCTTGTTTAATAACGAAATAAATCATAGAACCAAACAATTCCTTAAATAAATTCATACACAAGAACCATGTAATTTTTGTTACTGACATTGGTGCTGCGGCGTTTTCAAGAACTTATGAAGTGACCACAATATTTAATTCCAATATGATTCTCGTCACCATAGGATACGAACTATAAAAGAGTAAGAAATGAAGGAGCGCTGAGTAGCTACACCCTCGGCTTCCACGCTCCTATTCTTGAAAAAGCTCACACCTCTTGGAGGATACACTGACACTCAGTCATTAACGTCTTTCAAGAAAGAATAAGTGAGCGTTTATAAAATTATATTTGTAAAATCTCAGCGAAATTGAAATGATTAATTTTGCAACTATCCGGTCAAATCTTGATCACAGTTCATATGAATAAGTGAGCGGCTTTTTTATTTAGGCTTAAAAAAGAATTAATCATTAAAATACTCTTGTGTGTTCTTAACATTCCTGAATGTCTACTTGCACTAGTGTCCACATTTTTCTTTCCTGTAAAGATTGATCTTCAGGATATAATGGATGCCTATCAAGTCATTTATGGTAAATCTTTGTTGGATGCTGTAAAAGACGATACCTCTGGTGACTACCGTCGAACTTTATCCGCTCTACTCGGTGAGACAGTTGGTCAACAGTAATACAACCACAATAACAAGACTGCTGTCGCCACTTCTTAAAATAACATTCATTTTAATTTTTTATTTATTATAACTATTCACCAGCTTTAAATTTAAATGGATTCTGATCATTTAAAATAATGTCTTGTTTGTCATTACACAATATAACAATACTTCAGTAAATTGTACTGCCTATATTTAATTTAAAATGCTTTTAATTAAGACAGAGTTCATTGGATAGTCTTACTATCCGTTAGGAAATACATAACAACACTTCCAAAATTTAAACTAACTTGATGTGTAGTGATATCCACACTAGTGTAACTTTGTTTCAACGATCAGTTATGTCGACTTCACACAAACCTTACTGAATAGTTTATCTCGACTATCAAAGCGATGTCATTTCGCTCGCGACAGCGTTAGTGCCTAAATACTTGTAACTTCGTGTCGATGAACTATATGGCAAAGATCTCACTGCCAGTAAGAAACAGTCCTAACACATTACAAAACTATGCTAACGTGATCTATGTATATCGAATATGTTAATTCCCCTCTCTATGTCAAAATGTTATTGATATTACTCAGTAACTACTTGCAATTGGCAATTGGACACATCTATTATGACAGATGGTTATATACTCAGGATTGCCCAAACCTCGGTGTATGAAGCGAGGTTCGTTCCCGTGACCCACTGGTTCGGAGTTCAGCGCCTAAACCTATGAGCCTCTCACAAAAATACCGCTTCTATATCGCAGCTGGGTGCTGTAAAAATGTATGAAAGAGACTATTATTATTATTAGACAGACGAAACATGTTTGTTCCTGGTACACTTTTTTGAGATCATGTTACAAATGGGAAGAATTCATTTGACTGTTCGGCATGACGAAACTGTTTTGATTAAAAAGAGGCAGACTTTGGTAAGCCTGGTAAGTGTGACAGACAAACAACACCGTAAATAACTCGTACAAGTTAGCTGACTCAGTAATTGGTACAGGAACAAATCCCAGTGAGATTCGGAAGAATTAAAGAATAGAATTCTAACGGATAGCAAAGTGGTCTGCAATCAACTCCATGAATCTGTGTACCAATTTATCCGATTTTGTGGTCGACACATCTAGGAAAACCTTAGACAGTTTTGTGTAAGCAGAAGTACTATTTTGTTTCATTTTAATATATACACCAGATATATTTAGAAAAAAAGACAAATTGAGCGCAGAAATATATTCCTTTTCAATTAGTTCTTCATTATAGGCTCTACACTAATATATACTTTTTCGCATTAAAATTTTACCAGTCATGTGATAGCATCAGTCCATAAGAATTATCACTATTAGGTATAGGGAGGGCGGGTGGCGAAAATAATAGATTAAAAGTCATCAAAGCAATTCACCAGTTGATGTTAGCAACAAGTTCCTAAGGTTGGGTGGAAATTAATTATGAAATTCAAGATCAATTAATTCGTAGGGGTTAGCAACAAGTTATTACATAATCAAGTAATCAACAAATTTGTAAAATAACGACGCCTCTAATGGGAACATTTGATTACACGTGTTATGAATTGACAAAGCAAGGTATAGAGACTGATATTCCTCTGTCTTCCCTAAGGAGATTTCTTTTAAGGTGCACAGTAAACGTGAATTTTCTGTTCAATAAAGTAATGTATAGATAATCAGACAGTGTTGCTATGGGATCACCACTAGGTTTAATCTTTTCCCTGGAGAAACTAGAGAGTGGTCCTCTTAAAGATGCAATATATAATCTTGGTTTCTATCGCCAATATATCGATGATACATTTAGAGTTATGAGGAAAGAAAGTGAGGCAAAGGACATACTAGAGAAATTCAATAAAGCTCATTCTGTCATAGATTTAATCAAAGGAGGAAATGACTCTATCATTTTTTGATGTCCCAATGTCAAAACGAACAGACCGAACAATAGGTAGACGATTGCATAGGAAACCTACATCAACTGGACAATATACTTTCTGAGTTTCGTGCCTCTATAATACAAACGTGATTCGGTTAGACGTCTGGTGCACCGGGCTAGAGTTATTCTTTCAAATGAAACACTGAACGAACTCGGTAATAGTCGTGATCTAATTTTTGAACGAAAACATGAACTCAGCACGTAAACAGCCAGAAGTACCCACAGTTCCCAAAAAAATTAGCGCTTATAAGATTGCGATTCACAAATGTTAATAATGAGATTCTATCACAAAGTCTAAGGTAGGCCTTCGAAAGGACTTTCAACGCGGCTAAGTTATGCTGTATATTTACTAGCCAACCAATACTCGGTGTATTTACCAGTTTAACTGCTTCTGTGGAGCTAGTTACATTGGGTGTACGGTCAGGCAAGATTATCGTCGAATTTGTGAAAACTTCCAATCTTGGTTTGGCAAAGTTCCGAATAAAACTATACGCAACTCAATACTAGCTTATCTCATCGATACTGGACATCAGGTTGACTCACTCAACCTTTCGTATGGTATACGAGTACGACTTTTACACACAGCAGAGGCAATCGGAATATAAGTGAACAAGCCAAATCCATGTTTCCAAATGAAATCTGTACAGCCCCTTTCTTTGCCATAGCCAGCTACATAATATGTATTAGGTTTTAAGAACGACTTCTCACCCCACCTTGTAACTTTCCTGACTTTGTTATTCTTTTATGTTTACAATTCTAGCTAATTCTATTAACTCGTTTGTATCTTACGCCATTCTACTGAGTCGTCCTGTTCTTCCTAGTCATCATTATTTTACAAATTTGTTGATTACTTGATTATGTAATAACTTGTTGCTAACCCCTACGAATTAACTGATCTTGAATTTCATAATTAATTTCCACCCAACCTTAGGAGCTTGTTGCTAACATCAACTGGTGAATTGCTTTGATGACTTTTAATCTATTATTTTCGCTACCCCCCCATCTTAAACGCAAAAGCGATAATACGCACTTGACGGTTTTAGGCTAGATCATCTATACGGTGATGAACTTGCGGCACCGTTGAAGAGTCTTGCACTCGGAAGAAACAACTGGTTAATAGTTTTAAATGGTTTTGTGATGAACGATTTCCAATGGAGTCTTACAGTACAAAATTTATAATAAAAGATATCCATTATTTTACAAGTTTATTTCATTACAAAGTCAAATCAGGAGCGATTCTCATAATACACAAGTATATATGTATTTAGTTTCCAGAAAGACTGACTGTATTTCCTCCTTGATTGATAAATAAAATTTACAATAGGCCAAGTTTATGTTCCATCATTAACTGAGGCATTCCAACTGATTCAGAATCTTCTGCGGCTGAAGAAACAAAAACAAAGCAGAATGAAACCATACTATTAGGAAAAAACGAAAATGAAATGCCCAATCAAAAACTAATTTTGCTAGGTGACCGCCATTTGCGAAGTGCAGTGTCCCAACCTCGTTCTACTTGATACTTGCTACAACAAAAAGTGATACAGTATTAATAACTGGACGAAGTTTTAAGTACAGTTTGATGCTCATAATTATATCGATGTATCCTCACATTTTCCCGTTGAAATACTTTGACAGCTTAAATAAATCAGTTTAACAACTACGGATAGGAAATGGTCATCCAGTGTTTACATAACTGCGACATGGGTTGACGTGAAAACCATCACGTTATTTTGCTTGCTTTCTTGATTGCTATTTATGCTGTCAGGAATATCAGTGCCATAGGTAAAACGCATCTATGGAGACCTTTGATAACAGAATGAAAAAAGTATCAATTTACACAGAAAGATTCCTACATTCATATAATCTGGTAAGGCAACAATACTTACGATTGATGAAGTCAGACATGTCAATCTCATCTAAACTGCCATCCAACTGAGCAGCCAATGGATGGTATGAATATAAGCCAGGAAGACGGGGTTGAATACGTCGCATAATACGTTGTTCCATAGATAGACGTAGGGGTGCATGAAGACCTTGTGCAGATGCTAGTATCTGCATTCTGTTAGCTTTTTCAGCTGATTTCCCATGCTTTGCAAGTGATTCAGCGACCGGATGTGGAAAGTTGATCGAATCTGCCACCTTGGACCCTGGAATCGCACACAGAGAAGATGCTTCTTCACTTGACCATACACTGCGACCAACGACGTCACCTAAACTGTTACAGAATAGAAAATTAACTACATCTACATATCGTGCCCTCATGTTTGGTAGGATTTCTATAAAATATATCTAAAAGGCTTAAACGTCCGGATCAACAGGCACAACTCAGAGGCGGTGACAGTAAAATGCACTGTTCCATGGGGGTTCTATTTAGTAGGAAACAGCGGATAAGTGGTGACAAGACTAAGAGCAGCCACCATCATAGTGCAAATTGACTGAGGCCGCAAGTTTCACTAAGAGGCACGTATTGCTCTCAGATGAAAACGGGTTCAATTATTCCGACTTTCCACTCTAGCAGACTAAGCTGGACAGTTATTAACTGGTCGTTCACCGGTGATTGTCTGACTAACGAGTGTAAACCGAAAGACTCCAGCATCCGCAAACTGGTCGTGTGTGACTGATCTTCAAGAGATTTTCAATGTGCTTCGAAATCATAAAAACCAATATACTAAATGTACATCACGCAGTCATCGAGTTTACTTCATGGGCAATCAGCAAATGTCAACCTCTAGTTAACTTTTGTCAACAAGCAAGTATAATCTAAACTTATTCTTACCTGTACATCTATACTTAAAGTGATACTCTACGTTCCTAAACTACTATAATTTGATAATGCTACATATACAAAGACAGATTAAAATGCAAAAGAAAATACAAAATTTACTAAACATAAAAGGTTCCTCGTACAGTGATGGTGTGACACTGATTAGAAGGAACAGAACTATGGCCAGTCCATGAAGTTGAGTAGTAGAATGAAGGAGAGTTGAGTAAGATCAGCATCTGTTGGTGCATCAAGACTCCTCAAATTAATTTAAGGGATGCGAAGAAACGACCGAAGACATTGTCATATGACAGCTCAAAACAGCAATCAGTAG